GGAACTTTACTTTAACAGAATCTAGACAGATAAAAGGGTTGACGTCTGAATATTATCAATAAACCGAAAAAATTTACGATAAATCATGTACTTTTTCACGCATCTTTTATACGAGATTTTTTTAATATTCTTTTTTTTTAATGTTTTAAACATAATTTTGTGTAACTGGTTATAAATATTATAGAAAGAGAAAGTATGTTCTTTTCAGGGGTAACTTTTTTTACCTTTCTCTCTGTCTCTCTCTCTCTCTCTCGTTCTCTCTCTGTCTTAGACACTCGGAGTAACGAATAGGTCATCATGAGAAAATCTCATCAATCATACATTTGACAGACAGTCGGTATATTCTAGATTACAGATCTGTTGGTCTATACTCTGTTAAAACATTTCTCTATCTTCAGGTACGAGAGGGGGGTTGAAGAGGATACCTGTACGCATGCGTTGTTTTGTTAAACTTTCATATAAGACACGCCCTAAATATGTGGTATTTTCCCCCCTTCGTTGTTATATAGGATATTTCTAGTATTAAACTTGATTTTGTTTGCCAATTGACATGGTATAACAGAATCAAGATGGGTTAGAAAACACGTCATGAGTTTCTGGGAATAGTAAAGAGGCTACGATCAGAACAGTTGACCTTTTTGACCTATTTCACCACAAAAAAATAAAAAAAAGAAGCTAACTTACTGTCTGGAGTGAACACCCTAATTATAGCTGCCTCAGGGTCACTGGCATTGGTCCAAGCGACGACGATTGTTCTATAACAGTCGCATGTCGGTAGGAGACAAATGGATATTTGCCTTGATCTCTTTGTCCTATGACTTTTTCCAATGGGTTCTTAGCCTCTTCCCGTTTTCTTGTTACGATTTTTAAACTCGTGTGTCGCACCCAACACGTAATTTACCTTCAATAAATGAAATTATTATTATTATTATAATTTCCTATAAATTATTATAATATCCTAACAATTAATTAATATTCTTATTTTATACGTGTTTAAATAAATATCCAAACAATTTATTTAAGATAGCGTTTCGGATAAACATGCAAGAAATAGTTTGTGTCGTTTAATTTGTGGTAGCTTAATATAATAAAATTTTAAGCGATATCATTATTCCTACGTAGAGAGTAATAAAAAACGTAAAAATTCTTTTATGTCTAGATTTAAGTAGTGGTCTTGTTTATGCAATGCATTCATGTTATTTGCCATTAAATTGAAGACGGGATCATAGGATGTCTTTATAAACAGCATTCACGATGTTGAATGATGATGTAACTGCAAATAAACTTTTGCCTTCTATTTATTGCCATTTAAATTATTTTTTTTCAACTATTTTTATGAAAAATATAAGTAAAAGTCTTTGTTTGCTGTTTATACGCTTCGTTATGGATCTTCAGTCTTCGATAATGATTTATATTTTTGTAAACTCGATAAATAAGCTAAATTAATAACTTCTCTTCGTTACATCAAATTATACAGAACCAATAATTGTTTAATATAACATGCAAGTTGTTCATTGAGACGTCAACTGCAGTCATTTCTAGACTGTGTTACGTGCTATTTAGGAAGATAGACAGTGAGACAAGTTGTCATTATCTGTCTTTCTCACTTAGTCATGATGAGAACAATAGATTCACTTCAAACTTTTATATAGAACTTGAGATAAGAAATATGTTTTCTATAAGATATAACTAATAACAATCATCTAATTAATTAGAATCATCTGTAACTTGTCAAATAATGCTGATCATTAAAGATCTCAATAAAGTTTTTTCGCTTAATTCTCTAACAATAGTATTTATCAAATGAAATAAATTGCTTCTTATGTGTTAGAAAAATTTAAAAATTCAATTATTAGATGAATTTTGTGTTAAAATAATCGCGAGTTTTTCGTTTAAAATGCTTAATTCGTTTCAGCTCAGCCAATTTTAAGTTTCAGAAAAGTTTTTACATGAATTTTTTATTTAGTTTAAATAATAAATTTTTTAAAAAACAAATTTTATTCACGTTTTATTTATATTTAAAAGTAGTTTTTTAGAGTTTAGAACTCTAAAAAAGTCCTTAAATTACAAGGAAAGTTCCATAAAATGAATGTTTGAGAAGTTTTGAAAGCTTTAAAGGTGTGCAAAAAATACTTTTTACAATTCAAAGCAAAAATATTAACATATTTTATAATTTTTAACATAAAATGTCATATAAAAAAGTTGAATTTTAACCCGATAATCGCAAGAAAAATAGTCATACACCCGTTTTACCATCAATTAAATGAGAAATAAACAGCGTTAAAATGATAAAAATACTCGTGTAGCTCCATAAATTCTACTACGTGTACGAAATTTTTTGAGTAAAAATGTATACATTCTATCTGGCATCCTGTATAGGACGAGTTCTTACATTTATTTATGTATTCTTTAAACATTTATTCAAAAATGTCTAACTTCACAGTATAGAAAACATCTTCGAGCCAACAAACTGCCCAGTCATGTAGTTGTGAAGTGTTTATCATTATAGAGAGTGCCAGAGGTACTTTATATTTACTAATGATATCTAGACTGTGATAAAGTCATTAAGAATGAATACATTAGCTTGAGCCTACGAATAACACTGATACTGGTCAAGATGTAGGCATATTTTTTTATTCTTTTCTCCTGTCCGAAACAGATTTTCTTCTATTAAATGATGGATAGAGGATAATTTGTAAGTTTTCATTAACAAATTTATTACTTACAATTATCATTAATCAGTTTAACATAAGAAAACCAAGCTTAGATTAAGATTAAAAATATGTAAATTTGAACACTTTCTAGCTAAATTTAAATTTATGGGTATAAATATAAGTTAAAAATTTTCGAATTATATTTATTATACTGTATAAATACTGTCAAATTAGAAAAAACAAAAAGAAAATTGAAAAAAAAATAAGTTTATTCTTTTGATGTAGGTAAGTCGTATATCGAAAAATTGATTGATGATTTTTATCCTTGGTATGGTTATAATATACGGCAATCTTTGTTTTAACCAATCATTTGGCATAGATGACATCAACTACTGTAACAGCTCATCAATCAAAAAAACTTTCTCTACCACCATCACACCATTTCCTTCGTACTATAACACTATGACTAATGATGCTTTTGTCTACGAAAGGTCACCAACTACATTACCTTCCGTATTGTTGCTATTTTTTTCGTGTTAGTTTGAAGTGGACAGTGGTTATGCACCGTAACATGCACCCCTGGTAAGAACTTCCATTTAACAATTCTGGAAGGTGTCATTTAATAACATATACGCCCAAAGAAAATTGAAAATCAACAGATTAATATCCTAGCGGGAATTCAAAAAGAGACTTTTCTTTTTTTTTTTTTTTTTTTAANTAGAAAACTCGTTTCTGTATTTTACAATGTTTTTCCATTAAACTGTGACAAATTCATGTAATTTAAAGAGTTTTATGGAGTTCTAAAACCTTAAAATTGTTTTTAAATATTAATAAATTGTTATAGAAAGAGAAGTTTTAAAATATTTTTCTTTTAAAATTATTTATTAAGATTTAAAATGCAATTTTTTTATGTTAAAATCCCATAAAAGTCTTTAAATTACTAGCAAAGTGCTCCATAAAACGATTGTTTGCGGAGCTCCAAAAGACCTTTAAAGCTTTATTAAAGTAATTTAATAATAAAAAGCAAAAATATTAAACAATTTTATTTATAATTATTAAAATAAAATTATTATTTTATCATTAAATCTGATGGAGAGTCAAGCAGACTCTCTCCATCAGCAATTCCGTTTATTCTTATATGATACAGACCCATTTTTCCAATTTGCAAGCCATAAAAACATTTAAACTTATTTTAATATATTAATTTTACTATAAATTTATAAAAATCAAATTGAAATCTTTGATTTCTAAATGTGTATTAGTTATATATTAGATTTACTTTGCGATTGATGTTAGATTCTCTTCCTTTGGAAATGATAAATCTCCTATATATTTTGATTGTAAATTCGTCAGTTGTAAATTGAAACGAAATATAACAATTGAGATATAGTTATGCAGAAGGTGACAACTTGACAACCAGGTAAAATAACTACGTGAAAGAATAAGTAGTTCTTAAATAATAGTTTCACCCGAAGGGAATTTCGAATGAGATGCTTATACGTTCACTTATCAAAAATGTCGTAACGAATTTGACAGTTTTTTATTGATTTTTACAATTTTAAAATAGTTAATGTTATCAGTTTTTAATTTAATTAAATTTTCATAATAAACTGTTTAAAATTTTTGACAATTTTCTATTAGACTACTCATCCTGCATCATGCCAATATTGTACTATCATATGCTACCAATGGACTCAGTTTTTTGATTAGCCATCAGATTTTAAGTTTTTTCTTTTTTTTTATAAATGTAAGGAAAATATTTTAATATTTGATTACTTTTATAACCTTTTTACACATTTTAGAACCTTTAAAGATCTTATAAAGTCCCACAAACAGCCAATGGAGCATGCTTGCTTGCTATTTCCTTGCTTATTATATTTAATAATTTTGAATTTCAATTTATTTTTGATTAATATTCACTCTTTAATTACATTATCTTTATTAAATTAGCAAGTAACACATTTTAAAATGCCTGTATAATTAATAAAATAATTTACATTGATAGCATTACAGAAAAATCATTATTTCCCAAATGATTTCATTCAAGTTACACTCATAAAATTTAATTTATTAACGAATATTTTTCCAGATTTTATTATAATTTATAGATTTATAAACTTTAGTTATTCTTTAATTGAGTAATTAATTAATTTTTAAATTGAATTTTATTGAAAAATATACATAAAATAAGACTGTAAAAGCAAGGATAACATGAAAATTTCATTACTGTTTTTTCACAAAAGTTAGGAAAAAATAGAGATTGTAATTTTATCTCTGACTTAATTTTAGATAATTATACAACCGTAAACTTTAACCCATTAAATTTGATTATTTTTTTCCTCGCAGTGAATGTGGTGGAAGCCCTTCAAGAGTTCTGGCAAATGAAGCAAGCAAGAGGAGCGGATCTCAAAAATGGTGCCCTTGTTATTTACGAATCAGTTCCTTCGTCCAGTCCTCCTTACATCTGTTATGTAACGTTACCCGGTGGTAGCTGTTTTGGAAGTTTTCAGGTAATTAAGTCCAATAATTATTTTTCAATTGCATTCTACATCAATTGTAAAATTGATAAAATCGGGGTTCTTTCAAATTTCGTTTCGGAACTAATCTAAATAGTTACGTATTCCGATACCTGTCACGTTTCAAATTGTTGAAACGTCACACCTTGATACGTGCCCACTTTCCGAATTCCATTACAATGACTTGACCGGTCAGTAACGAGACTTGATACAGATCTAACCTGTAACAGGATAGGTGTGGGAAAAATTAACCTAACACCCTATGTGACGTCAGTGGCCTCCCTAATATCCTCGTGACAAGGGATATATATCACTTACAGTCTGGTTGCACCACCTGTTTCACCTGACATGGTCGTGCCTGAACTCTGTGGACCATTTTTTGTCATACGCTTTGGATATGATTACTCGGAAACGTGAGCATATTCATTGATATATGTATACTAACAAAATCTTACTTAAAGTTCGGTACAAAGATTGTAATTATCATAGACACTAGGTTGGTAGGAAACTTAGGAAATGGCCAAAAATTAAGAAAGAAGACACAGTCCTTTTTAATAAGCTCTACCTGAATGGTTCTTGAGGGCATCTGTTCCATTTACTAGTACCTTCTGGGATTATAACCAATGGTATGGTTCACCTCAAAGAGCCTCTAATCGCTCGATTCTTAATTTTAATCAGCTATATAGAATTATAAAGGAAGCCTTCATCATAGTCTTAAAAGAAATGTTAAGAAAATCGTTCAAGTACATTCTATTGTCTAAAGCTATCTGACGTTCCCACTCGACTCGATTCATAACACTAATATTTATAAAGTTACGATCAATATTTAATTTACTGACCTAATTCTCACAGGAACCATGAGAAATTCTTTACCTCTGCAATCTAATTTTTATCGTCTATTGTATTTTGGTAGGCAATTCTTTATTTTCTAGCCTTGACACTAACTGCTTTGAACACCTGTTCGCTTCTTCATACTTTTTTTTTGTATATATGTATGTTTTATATTGGTTAAGTGTGGTTTGCCTTGAATCTTTCTTTCAACATTAATTGCGACAAACGTTTGGATTCATGCAGTTTCTTTTGACATATGAAAGCAAATTTTTGATGTGCACTCTTTATAATAAACTTCCTGTCTATCTGTACTTTTCCGTTTCATAATAGATGAACTAAGTCTATGAATACTTAGACTATTTATTTTCCACATATAATGACACTTCTTACTTCATATTTAATTGTATTATTATATACTTACAACATCTCCCTTCAGGCTGAGTTCATTCACAGATCTTCAAACTTATCCTTTTTTTTAGTTAGATTTTTACTTGTGGAACCTATAATAAAATTATAAATAAGTTCTGCTCTATCCTTTAAAATTTTCTAGTCTCGATTTAATTATATTATTAATTGTTTAGTACATAATATTTAAATTATTGAAGGTAGGGAAAGATCACAAGAGAAAATCCCGAACGAGAACAATGATGATGCATGTTAACGGAGATAATCACAAAATGTTAAGTGAATTGTATTGATTATACAATGTTTATTTTTTTAATATTTACTAAATATATATAAAAAAATAATTGTAGTTAACATAAATATTTCCCTCTGGCTACTATTTGAAATTCATTTCATAAAAAGCCCACATTAAAAATTTCGATGTTGATCAATGTTAAGATATATTTTAATGTAAAAACAAGTTATTTTTATCACCGAAACACCTGTGGAAAATATATTTTTAAAATTTTTTTATTCTTTTTCTGTATATAAAGACATTCCAACCCCTTGAAACCCCCATTTGTCTGGACTACTATCGTCTGGACGCCTTAGAGGAACCATTGTTCCATCCACTTTGATCATAACAGGTGGGCTGTTTGAATAACAATAGAACGAAACAACAACATCGCGACCACACAAATCACAGTCGGTCGTGTTTTTGGACCGTAATGATAGCGTTGCTATAGAAGGTTGGGGTCAAAAAAGTTATCACAGACTAGTTTTCTCTTAGATCAGTAAATCACTTACATAAGTAGCCTCCTGTGTACAACAGATAATTAGTTTCAGGTTGTCATTTCGAGTGCTGTAATGAAAAATGGCCATTTTCTAGATCAAATACGTCATTATGACATACATCGGCTTTAAATCATGACTTTACAATTACTGAATATCGTTGCTATCTTTAATTTGTTTGATGCTGGTGATATTTTCAAATTAGTCTACAAGAAATATTGCTTCTTCGTGTAAGATTAATTCAAAACTAAGCAAAATAATATTCGCATTTATAACTCTAAGCAATTCTTAAATAATTAATGTTTACAATTATAAAATTCCAACAAATTTATCAAGATAGAAATTAAAATTCTACCTTAATATCTGAATAACATAATTACAACTATTTTAATTCCCAGTACAGGAGAAATTTAAAACAAAGCAGTGCATCTTGATCACGATATCTCGGTCGAAGATATAAAAAAAAATTCAAAATATTTTTAAAAAATTCATTGCTTATCGATGCATAAAAAATAATCCTGTGATAATAACTAACAATTATAATAAGAATATATTGTATCAGTAAAGCTGTTATCCTCTCTACAAGTTTGAATTTATTGTGGTTGTATCAATAAAATTTATTTATTTCCAGTCAAAACCACCTACCAAGTATAGAATTTGTGATGGAGGAAAATTGGAAACTGGAATTCGTACATCTCTCTGTTGGAGATGACATTTGACCCCGCGTTTCTTAAGTCAGGGGAGAGTGTATTGTTAATGTAAGTGTGTACTCATACAATCAGTGAATCGCTTTTCGCCACACTTGTCAATATGTCTGTCATAAAAGAAGTGCACTCTGGTCGAAAAGCACGTTTTATATCTATATTTGAGACCACACAAGTATTTACATTTTTAGAATCAGCAGCAAAAATAGCCTCGGAATTGTAGAAATTTGAAGAGAGAGAGAGAAAAAAAAAATAATGTATTGAAACACTTCTTTAGCAACAAATATCAATCACATGCCACACGTCAAGCTGTTTGGACGCAAGCTGCGAAGAAAATTTTTACAAATGTTTTGCCGTTACTCAATTTTCAAACATTTATCATTAACTTTTGAAGGATTTAGTATCATAAATTAATTTTTTTTTCTGTGTGTTTCTTTATTAGAACTGTCCAACTAAAGCTGAAGCTAGGAGGAGTGCTGCAAAAATAGCGTTGATGAACTCTGTTTTCAATGAACATCCTTCAAGAAGAATTTCTGAAGATTTTATAGAAAAAGCTGTTGCAGAAGCAAAAGCATCTTTCAAAGTAATATATTTAACTATTTATTTAAAATATGTTTAATTAAATTTATAAACTGTTACAATTTTATGCTAGAAAAGTAGGAATTTCTAGATATTTTTCTTTCAAAATATGCATACAAATAATTTTTTTAATTTAGTTTATAACTTAGTAATGGTTCAGATTATAATAGTTTTCTCTCTCTCATTAAAGTAGAATATTATATATTATATATTACTATTAATAGTNTAATAATAATACTATTAATACTAATAATATTATATTATATAAAATGTAGTACTTCTTTTATATAGTAGCAGAATACTTAGTATCACAGAAAGTACTGAAAATCCTATAGTAGAATTATAGAAAACCATAAGTTTTACTAGTCATCTATATCTTTATTGTAATGAGAAGTAAAAAAGTTTTAGGTGAAAAATCATCATTACAACAGTATCCTGTTGTAATAATGATTTTTTTCTCATTAAATTACAGTTTTATTTATTTAATAGAGCACTACTTTTCAGTACTAGTAGTAGTATTTTTATACTAGAAGAGCATTAATTTTATATTTTAGTATTAAGCACAGAAAAGTTATACATGCACTTAAAAACAAGTACAAAAACATATTTTACACTTATGTAATACACCACTAAGTACAGTACATCTATAGATATATTCAGTATATTTCTGTGTAACTATATTTGTAAACAAATGGCTTTATTAAATACTTTCTGTACCTATTAATAACAAAGTTTTTAAAATGTTGAATTTGGTATATCTGCTGTTATGTGGGTCTATAATATTTTCCCAAGAATACTGAGAAGTTATACCAATTTCTCAAGTTATAATAGCAGTTTGGTTATAAAATATGGCCTTGAAAATGTAATATAAATATTATCCTTTTATGTAATTCGTTATAGTATTGGCGGTTTTTCAAAGCCATTCATCTAAGGACATTTTTCTATATTAGGAGCGATGCAAACAAAATGTATAACTAATTATACGACCTTCATCTACCAAGATTTATTATTTGAAGGTTTAAACTGTATAATAACTGAATGTTTTTTTTTATTTTTTATTACCTTTTCTTTTAATAAATTATTTTCAAATGAATTAAAGATTTTATCTATTTTTCTTTCAATTTTTATTACAATAACACAAAATTTTCAAAAAAATTTTTACCGTTTACGTTCGACTATAATATGAATTTCTCTCATATTACTAAATTCATAAGCTCGGATTGTTATAAGTAAATATAAAAGTATATTTTCTAATATATGTACGCATTCTAAATTTCTGCTATTAATTACTTTATAAACTATTCTTGAAATATACTCAAAGTTGTTTCTAATTGTACAAATGCTTCGACAGGATGATACAAAAATCCCCATTAATAAAAAAAAAAAGAGTTTAGTTTATTATATAGTTACTTACAAGCTGCAGAATGTGATCTATGTGCTGTAAAAACTTAAATGAATTCACATTTAAATGCACGTTCACACGTTTGATGTTATACGAGAAGCACTGTACTGTACAGTACATCCCTTCAGATAGTTTGTGTTTAGTATTGACTCATCCTTTATAATTTAAACATTGTATATTGATAAATATATTATTAAAGAATTTAATTTATTATTATATAGCTTAATATATTGATTTATATTATTCTTTCGTGTTTACTTATATGGAATTCATGTTTAGGGAAATCCCGAGGATGCTGACCAAACTAATAGCGGAATAGAAGCCTTTCGATTCATGTTAGAAGCCAATAAAGGAAGAACAATGTTGGAATTTCAAGAATTAATGACTGTTTTCCAGCTTTTACACTGGAACGGTAGTTTGAAAGCAATGAGAGAGCGACAATGTTCCAGACAAGAAGTGGTAGCACATTATTCTCATCGCACACTGGACGACGACATGAGATCTCAAATGGCTCTCGATTGGATAGCACGAGAACAAGAAACACCAGGAATTATAGCTAGAGAATTAGCAAATGCAGAAAGGGAATTAGAAACTGCCCGTTTAGCAGGCAGAGAATTAAGGTTTCCCAAAGAAAAAAGAGATATCTTAATACTGGGATGTAGCCAAGTTAATAGTGTCAATGGACTAACTTAAATTATTAGTCCCTCTTTAAGTTTTTCTGTATATATTGTAAATAATTTGATGTACTGTTACGTCTAGAATGCTTATTATTATTTTTTTTATTTTGCTTCATTTCTATGGTTTTATCGCATCAAATTCGTTGTAAATGTAAGAAGTAACCTTCTACAAATCTGTGATTTATAAGCGCGAAATATTAAAAAAAAACATGCGTGATATCTTCTAATAGATTATGGTATTGTTTTATAAAGGCTTATAATTGCGTAACATTTAGAAAAAAAATTTAAAAAATAAAGAATTTAATCGTATCAAAAATTTAGTCTCTTGTCGCCATTTTAAATTAAATAGTGTGCAATCAAATGGCGGTTTACGTGGCTGACTATCATCACTGCCTTATGCTCGATTCCTAGGGTTTGTTACTTTTGTACAGCTTTTGTGTATTGAGTTATATAATTATCCATTTTTAACAGTTGAAGGATAGGAGAATGTGAAATAGAGCAGATCTCATTTTATTTTATTTTGCTCCTTATTCGCCTCCTTCAATAGCAACAGGCTGTTAAAAATACTAGAGCCTCCATGGAAAATGTTTCCATAATTTGGCTCTGGTGTAGATTATTATATATATATATATGTTTAATTTAATTATGAAAGTTTAAGGTAGTGGTAAACTGTATATAGAGGTATTTTTTATATAATTGTTCTTGTGATTTTAAATACGTACTGTACATTTGTGATTTTGTGGTTTGAATTTATAATTATGTATGAATGTACGATGTTAATTATATCAAAAAATATTATTTTTTCACCCTAAAAAAATAAATATTTGTACGAAATATTGTGATAAAAGAATGAAACAACTTCCATGATGAACAAAACATTATATATATATAAATATTATTTTTTTTTAATTCGGCAATATATATATATATAATTTTTATAAGCTTTACAGAATAATTTGTGATGTTAAATCAAAGTCTTTTTTTACATTTTTTTTGTCGGTTATATTATTATTTTTTGTGATTGTATTCACGTTTCTGTGATTGCAGTTGGAGTCATTGTGTTCAGTTGATGTTTTATTTCAAAGAAAAAAAAACAACGCTTAGGAAAGAATTTGCTATTTTATTTTGTAATTTCTTCTTTAATAAAAATGATAAAAAATTAAATTTTATGGTTATTTTTATTTGAATGAAATTTGAATTATATTCCGAATCGTTATTGGTTAGTTCATAAATTTGAATTGTTTTCTCAAACGTCATTCGTTACGTTATACATTTAAATTATTTTACGATACGTCATTGGTTAATTTGAATTTATATTTTTAATATTTTTAACGTTATTGATTATTTTATAACTTTTATATAAATTTTCCANACAACTGCATTGCCTCTGAGAGGATACGTAGACAGCATTTTGGAAATGCAAGTTTTAAAGAGATTTTGGGCCAGAGGCCAAATCTTGATAAGATACTGAACTTTTTGAAAGTCGTAAATATTTATAAAGAAATTTAATTAATTATTTATATATTTATTTATTTATTTATTATAAACTATTTATTCACATAAAATAAAGGGTTAAAATGTTAATATATTAAACTTACATACGAGCATTGCAATAAGGATTAACAGCTTTAATACTGTTACATTTAAACAATGAGCTCTTACAACAGTCGTACTACATTTTTTTTCCTTTGTCTAACAGCTTTCGTGTAATTACTTGGACGTTATTTTCGATTTATCGCGTACAAAACAAGACTAAAGTTAAGATTTTTAGTATACCGTGTTCTTTGCCCTTATGTTAAGTTGTGCGTGCAGTTCTTTGCCCCTATCCTCGTTTAAGGTGTGGTTTCCGCAATTTAAAGATTACAAAAAAGTAGTCATCTTATGCTGTTCGAAGGACATCAACTATACTCCAACCGATCCTAAATAGACGATTAAAAAATATATATATATTGTAAACATATATACAGTATATTATATATTCAAGTACATGACTTTGTGATGATAATGTCATTTAGGGATTTATAATTCAGCATTTTATTTTATGTTGTATGTTATTACAATCATGTATAGAGATTGAGAGAGAGAAAGAGAGAGAAGTTTAATGTATACAAGAAACCAGTTAGCTAACAACTGCTATTTAATGTAATTATTAAATATTCAATGTACTAATTTCGATGTCTGCATTACAGAAATTAGATAAATAAAATAATAAAATTCTGTACAGAAAAACTTGTATAGACTCATTGAGAATACATATTGAGAGAATTTGTTTTAAAAAAGAGTTGAAAATCATTTCAATTCAAACAAAAAAAAGCAAAAACAAACCTATGATAAAAGCCATGTTTCGTGGTAAAAGTGAAGAAATTTAAGTTAAAAAAATATTCAAAAATAATTCTAATAAGAAGAGAATTTATTAATAAATAATGTTTCTTGTAAATTTGTTTGAATAATTATATAAAATTTCATTTATTTACACTTTTGAGCAATTCTCGAATCGAAAGAGCTCATTTATGTGATTCTGTGCATGCCAAATCATACAAATTCACATAAATAATCACATTTTCATGCAAAATTTATGTTGAAATAATCATACCATGTGCATTCTTTTATAAAAACAATAACATGAAGAATATAATATGTATTATCAGCATTTTGAATGATAATTAATCAAAATTTGAGAATTAATTTTTGATTATCGATAATCATATTTTAATCAGACAGTGATAAAATTATAAAGTTAGCAATTAAATTTCGAATAAGTAATGAAAGAAGAGGTCAATGTTTTGATATATGTGTGGTTTGAATGCATTTTGCATCTGTTCCATGTTCAAGATGAATGCCCAATCCGTATCTTGTATCAATGACAGTAAATATGAATAATGAGCCTATTAATCCTCATTTACTGTGGGCTCATCCATCGAACGAGTCATCAAAATATTCTTAAAACAAGTTTCTATACGCTTAATATTTGTACGAGTTATTTTTTAATACTTAATGATGGATTTGTCTTTGGGTATTGAACTTAACAGGTGAAAATCATTCCAACTGTTTAAATATAAAAATTTTGTTTGCGCATCTTATAAATCAGTTTTATTATTCGATATTTATCTTGTATGGAGCCTAACCCAGCTTAAACGCTGTTAAAAACCCAAAGAAACATTCAAAAATCCACCTATCAAATGTTACTTTACATAAATTCAAAACATAATCTACATATTTTATAAAAGATCCAGACAACCGCCTCCTTCCTGAAAAGAACTTTGCTATCTTTTAAGAAGTCAAATGAATTTCAAATCAGAAAAATAACAATAATTTTTTTTGAGATTTCATTTATATTTATTAAATAATATATCAAAATGATAACATAGAACGAGAAGGAACATGTAAAGAATACAAGAAACATAGGAGTATCCCATTAAGAAGGAATAATCTTGGATTTATACAAGAAACAAAAAAGAAGAAAGGACTAGATGGCATAGGAGCAAAGGAATAGAGACGGCTGCCATAAATTATAAGAGATTGGACAATAGAGTATGTACAGGGCTAATCGAGCAGGTTGAAGGAATGAAGATATTTGTTTCTACTCCGAAGAGGGTGATTTATGTCACAAGATCGGCTGTAACTAAGTTCAACAATCTTTCATCTCTCCCCCGCCGACTCCTCCCATTTTCGAAGAAAATATTCGTTATATACTGACAATCTCAAACATAAACTATGTGCAGACGTGCAGAATGGCTTAGGATGAGAACAAATTAATTTTTTATACAGATATACACAATTAAATTTCAGTTGTTTTTTTTTTAAATATAAAATCTGTCATCATCTTATGGAAAGTTTACTAATTTACGCACAGAGTAATTAATTATATTTAAAGTAAATTAAGAGTAAAATTATACTGAATTTCAGCAATTTTTAACGAACCAAAAATATTCGAGATATTTAACAATTAACGAGTGAAAGCAATAAAGTTGAATGACTAAAAGAGATACGCAAAATGAATTTTAAAAGTAGACTTAAGAGTAAAAAACCTCAAACTGATATTGAAGGAAAGGAAGAAGATGCAATTAGGTAGCTAGGGCCATGATTAATGATTGTCCACGTGGACTTCTTAATGGCTTCCGCCTAGGGATTCCTTGATTTACAAATGATGCGAACACTATCGGAATAACTGTTAACATACAGGGAAGTGTGACAAATAATTAGTAAACTTTACCGCCGCTCGGTATGACATTCGAGTGATTAATTCATCACAGCGTTTTTTTTTATTTTTTATTTAATTTTTTAAGAAATTTACGTTTGTAATCCATCCAATTATCTACCGGACGATTCTTGACAACTGGTGTCAAAAGATCGTTGTCCTTGGTAGAAAGACAAACTTGACTAATGGCGTCCGATGTCTACATCTATCGGACAGGTGTCTGACTTGTAGTCTTATAAAATGACCAAATATAGAAATCCGTATCTTTATAACCTAAAGTGGAAAAAAGTATATAAAGATGGCATTTTAAAAAACTGTAATCTATTAGCCGAGCGGGTATAAATTTTGTTCGGTTTCGGCGGTTGATATCGGGGTTTGTTGTCGAATCACGTAGTATCCATGCCGCACTTACAGAAATCGTGTGGAATGTTGTTCCTGCAGCAATTAGCTACAGCGATGACTATTTCAGCAAACTTTATTGCCTTACCGCCATAAATAACACGGCCACTGCATGAACCGGATAGGTAAAGTTTTTTCTCATTCTTCTTCCCCTTAATTCGCTTTCCCCCTCTTCTTATAATTCCCCTCCTTATATTCTCTAACTACTCTGCTATTTGACAAACACGCAATGCGCCACTCGCTGGAAAAATATATTTAAATTTTAACGTCCTTAAAAACAAACAGAAAAAGAAAAATGTGATTGGTCGAATTTAAAATTTTGAAATTGATCTTCAAAGCGATTAGTTAATTTGAAAATTCAAATATTAATTTAACGATCCGATTGGTTCGTTTAAATTAAAATTTTTGGCCGTTGAATTTATAATTATTACTGATTAAAATTATGAAATAATAACTTTAAAATACGACTTTTTTTAAGTGTATTTTTTGGAAATTTTATTATTGAATTAAATTTATGTAAAAATGATAATTTGTGATTTTTTTACTAAATATGAAATTTTATATAAAATTGTCTTTATTAGAATTCGTTTTGATTGAGATTGAAAAATTTTCTGGCAGAACTAATTTAAAACTTCAACAGCTGTCACTGAAGGTTTGACATTATCAATTGAAAATAATTTTGTTATTTTTTTCTTTCTTCCTCTCTTCATTACTTATTTAAATATTTTATCATTGTTTATTGAATAACACGGTAGTAATTATGATAATTTTGCGTTGTAATTTGATAGTTTAGTTTTCGAAGCATGTGCTTGGAAGACATGTAAACACGAGTATAAACTTAGAGAAAGTAATGTAATAAATTCTTCTATTAATGATGATTTTGATTTATATCTTTTAGATTTCGTTCAATTTATGTTCTCTGGTTTGATATTTTCTGTTTTATTCATTTTATGGAATCAAAGGAATGCGATTAGAAAGATGGCTTAAGGCCAAAACATTCATCGAACCAGAAAGGATGGCTTTCGTCNTATAATTTTTTATTATTTTTATATTTTTAAATATATTTATTTTGTTTGTACAAAATAAAAAAATAATTTTTAACGACACAATAGTCTTTGTTAGGCTTAACGTCGACGATAATTCAACGCGAAGCGACACGCAACGGATAAAAATTTCGTAATCGGATACGTTAAACTATTTTTTCGTACGTAAATCAGTTATCCGAAATATCAGTTATCCGGACAACCCCAGTCTCCAATTGATTCGGAAACTCGACGCTCTACTGTACTCTAACGACACTGTGAAAGCAACAGCATAAATAAATGTAGAAAAAAGTAATTTAGTAAATTAGAAAGTTGATAAAACTTTCTATTAAAGAGCATTTTTCTTTATTTATTTCATAAGTCAGCGCGTTATTTCCCTTGGGGAATTTTTGTTTATAGGAAGTGAAATTCTCCTTTCATTCGGAGTTATAGTAAATATTTACTCCTCTTAAATTCATTTTTAAAAGTAAGTCTAAAGAGAATATATATGTAGAAAAAACAATTTTAATTGTTGATATTTAATTATAATTCGATAATGTTTATTTTACTTTATTTACGTTATCCGAACCGGAGGGATGTTTCCTGGTATGGTCAACTTGTAAACGATTTAAGAGAAATAGGGAAATTCGATAGGGAAAATTCTGGTAGCGTTTAGTACTTTAATCATAATGATTGGCCAGACACGAGTAATCGATTAGTTATACTTTTGGAGATTTTCGACACTACTCAGCCGTTCCCCTCTTCTCGACAATCAATCCTGCCCATTCGAACGCATGCGTGCTTGTAGACTACCACTGATCGGTCTGGACGCCAACTTGTCCATTGTATCGTCTGCTTCGGAGATGGACATTCTTCGATCATGATCGAAACGCAATAAGCGAAGAACATGCGTGCAACGTCATGGACGGTGGGTACTGTAATGCCGCCGTAATCCATAACGGATGGCAAGTTGCTCAATGTGCACCGAAGACCAATATGTGGTGTTGACACGATTATGGGATTCGTCGACTCAGGCGGGGGGTTTTCCCCCTCCCTCTGTCTCTTACTGGTCGTATCTGGGGTGCTATGGGGTGCTTGGGGTTTCCCTCTACATCTTCTAGCCATAGTACCACCGGAACTGACTCATCAAGTATCGCGGGCATTGAGAAAGTCACTTATTGATATTGATAGAATGCCTGGCAGAGATGTAGCACTTTTAGCCAGTGTTTCGACACTTGGTAACAATACTCGTGATGTCATCACTACTTTATGCGACTCTCTTAAGCCGCATAATCCTAGTCTGCTGCTCACATTTCTCGACCCTTCTCTCACTTTTTATGTATCGCTTATCACTGGCTATGCACGGTTACCACATTTGGGTTTTAGATCTGGTTATTTGGACAGTGCTTCCAAGGTAAGATCTCTTTTACTTTACATTGCAAATAACCTAGAACACGTGTCTCTCTTTTTATTTCTAATTAAACTATGTAAACAAAGTTAAAGAATTTAAAGAAAAAGCAGCAACAGCTTCGATAATCTCCAAATGTAGAATTATCCTACAAGTCAATTTATTGATCCGATGAATTAATATTATGGAATCGACTAAACATTTTGATCAACTTTCTGTTTAGTGCAAAAGATTGGAAGCGACTTTTTCAATTATTTCAGTTTGATTTATCTTCGTATACACGCTTAAATACATACATATAAAAGTATACACAGAAGTGGAGTATTAAAATTCTAATATTTCTAAACTAAACAATGAAAATGGAGTGAAAGTGTGTAAAATCTCTTAGAAAGATACTTTTGATACGAAAGTGCTACACGTGTTATTTTTACAAGATCCTCGACAAAACTTCACTCAGCATATTCCATTGTTGAAGCACCTAAAAGTATTTTTACCGAAAATATTCTTTTCGTGTAGAATCCTTCAAAAATTGCTGACAAAACTTAAAATTTTTAGAATTTTTATCTCGAGATAAAAGTCACATTGTTCAAAAATATATTTATTTATTAACATGAAAAATTCTGATAAAATGCAGAAATAGAACGGATCGATAGAAAGTTTCCTTAATGTGGATGAATGGACTTCTGGGAGTGAAGTAAATGTGCACCTTTTGTCTTTCCTTTTAACTGTCCATTTGCATAATGTTTATTTAGAAATATAACTTACACACACTATTTTACACTAATATTTATAAGCTAAAAATATCTATACACTTTGAAAGTGGATACATTTCTTTGTATACAAATATACTTTTGAATATTTGCATTATTTTAGTTTCTAATAAATTGTTTTATAACTTATATTTAATATTTAATTTTCTAATATTTCTTTATTCATTTTTTTAGTTAAAATATGACTAACTTTAAAATATTTAAGTTGAATTCTTACTATTACTAAGTGAAACATTTATAAATTTAAACAATATTTGGAAGAGAAATATAAAGAATAATTATAATTTTAATATATTTTATGATTTATCTTATTAAAATTTATAAATTAAAATTATAATTCTTAAATAATAAACATTAAAACTTCTAAATATTTAGTGAAAAATTGTGAAATATTCACACTGAAAAGTTTTTAAAATATACAAATGTTGAATAAAATGAAATTTTTTTTATTTTTTTACATTTTCTTAATTTAGAAAAGTGTTTTCGTTAAAGAAACAAAATTAAAAACTGTCATATTTAATTAAAATATATTGTTAGAACATTACCCAACATCTGTGTTAAAAAACTGTTGGATTATTCTCAACTTTTGCAATTAAAAAGTATTTTGTAATCAATTTTAAACTTCTTTTGATTAAATTACTATATTTTATAATAAACTTAATTATCATATGATGATACTTAAATTGTATATTAATGCTAACAAGTGACATAAGAAGTGATGCTAATTAAATATTGATATATATTATAAAATAATCTTTAATCACTTTAAAAAATATAATTTAAAACATAAATCTTATATAGAATGCTAAAAATTTAAGAAAATATATAAATACATTATGAAATTTATATAAAGATATTTGTTTTGCAAACTGTATGCCCTGTGTTTAATTGAACATAAAATGTGCATGATGCAAATTATGTGTTTATATTAAAAAATATATATTAAGTTAATAAAAAATCTGTTTTTATATATTCTTGCCATAAGCATAATGTCATACTGCATAAATTCAAATTAGCATATATTTTATAATTATTCTTAAAGAAATAGTTTTTGTATTGATAGCAAATTATATAGGCTATTATTATTGTTACAAAGTAAAATTTTAAGTAATATAAAGTGAGGAAAAGTTTCTTACATTTCTTTTCTAATTTCTTTAGGAAAAAAATAACAAAAAATCACAGTATGATATTTTGAAACATGGCTATACATTTATTGTATCTCTAGGGTGTAATAAATAAGATTTGTGCCACAATTGTGGTGATATATATTCTGGTATTTATATCTAAAATGTTGTTACTTCGCTGTCGATTATAATTTAAGCTTTATCGGTGATAAAATTCGATTTGTTGAAGTCTCCTTAATTTTATACTTTGATATGTATGGTGAAAAATTCGTAAATTCACAATTATCTTTGTTATTACGAAACTGTGCACACAATTTGCTTATAGTATATTCATTATTATCTGTTTGTTTTGCATATATTTATTCCGAAATCATCCGATTAGCACGCCTAATATCCATTAGATTGCGTGACTTAACGTTTAATATATTAAATAGCTGAATAGTGTAAACAATCATAAATACTCTTTAGATAAACTATTAAAAGATTATTGGATTATATTATATAATTATTAATATCTTACACGTAACTTTTCACTACATTCAAACAACGAAGTGACAGTTGAACTCATTTCGCTTCACAGAAGATCATGAAATAAAGATTCGATGTTATGCTTCGTGAATTAGAAATGCCATAAGGATGGGATGCACGGATTTCTCTAAACAAACGTTTAATTTGATGAAAAGTAGAGTCAGAATCAAAACTTCTGCTGACATGTAATTTTATCCTCGTGTTCCGGATCCATACAAGCAATGACAGACAGAATGTGATGGATTTACGTAGAACCCATGTTATCTTCCACGCGATTACACAGTTAAGAAGTACAAAGAAATCCACCTTATTGATCTACATATTTGAAAAAAGAAAAGAGGGAGAAAGGACAAAATCTCCACTAAAATAAAAATGTTTTCCATGTCTTCAAATCAATGTTTTACTAAGTTATATATATATCGAATTAAAACATTTCTCATTCAAGACACGTTTGCACTTATTAATTGCAAGTCGTAACTTTTATTTTTTTTTTATTTTTGCAGAGAATTCTTTGAGTAACTTTCCTATATTTCGCTAAACTTAATAGTAATTTTATATCCGGTAAGTAATAAGATTAAGAGAAAGTAAAAGTGTCAGCAAATGAATTTAGAAATTTAATAAAAATACATTTAGATAATTTAGCGGCTTTCTAGAATGTTAGATTTAAACATGAATAATTGAACGCACATTGCAGAACTTAAATATAACATGGAGTATATAGCAATATGCATTTTTCATAAAACATTATAATGTATTCTATTATAATAAGTAATGTGGAATATGTTATTTGTATAGGGCGTGAGTACAGTACATGTAGCAATGCATTGTAATTTTTCTATGTAGTCTACATAAAATATTAAATTGATAAAGTAACATTTTTCTATGTTATTACATTGGTATTACGTAAAAATATATATGTTCAGCCAACTTCTCTGTTTATTCCCACGTTGAAGTTGCCTTGGTGACTAGTTATTTTTGTACAACAAAAGGATAATCTTAACTCAAATAATTGTCCTCATTCTACTTACTACTAAGGTTAAAAGTATTGAAGAAGTCATTTAACTGTTTCATTGGATTAGTTCTTAACTTTTCATCAAATTGTCCTCAATAGAAGAGTGGAAAGAAAAAAAGTAACCCTTAAACAAATTGTTTCTAAAAATATAATGTATTTAAGTATAAACTAAAGGGAATAAAATAGATATATATATGAAAAACTAACAATTTTCTTCCTTTCTTCTTACGTTATCGAGATGTAATCACGTGGCAGGATGATAAATGAGGAATTTAATATGTGTCTACTTGTCACGTGATTGTGCAGTTAAAAATCACTCGTAGTTATTGATAGGAATTCATTGTTTTTTTATTCATTATCATTAAACCGTAGCTAATATTATTTTGTTTCGAATAAAATAAATAATTACGATTAAATTTACACAATTTTCATATTAAATTGATTGTTTATATTTAAATTTTAACGTCCTTAAAAACAAACAGAAAAAGAAAAATGTGATTGGTCGAATTTAAAATTTTGAAATTGATCTTCAAAGCGATTAGTTAATTTGAAAATTCAAATATTAATTTAACGATCCGATTGGTTCGTTTAAATTAAAATTTTTGGCCGTTGAATTTATAATTATTACTGATTAAAATTATGAAATAATAACTTTAAAATACGACTTTTTTTAAGTGTATTTTTTGGAAATTTTATTATTGAATTAAATTTATGTAAAAATGATAATTTGTGATTTTTTTACTAAATATGAAATTTTATATAAAATTGTCTTTATTAGAATTCGTTTTGATTGAGATTGAAAAATTTTCTGGCAGAACTAATTTAAAACTTCAACAGCTGTCACTGAAGGTTTGACATTATCAATTGAAAATAATTTTGTTATTTTTTTCTTTCTTCCTCTCTTCATTACTTATTTAAATATTTTATCATTGTTTATTGAATAACACGGTAGTAATTATGATAATTTTGCGTTGTAATTTGATAGTTTAGTTTTCGAAGCATGTGCTTGGAAGACATGTAAACACGAGTATAAACTTAGAGAAAGTAATGTAATAAATTCTTCTATTAATGATGATTTTGATTTATATCTTTTAGATTTCGTTCAATTTATGTTCTCTGGTTTGATATTTTCTGTTTTATTCATTTTATGGAATCAAAGGAATGCGATTAGAAAGATGGCTTAAGGCCAAAACATTCATCGAACCAGAAAGGATGGCTTTCGTCCATAGCTACAATCGAAAATCTAAAGATTATTTCCAACATGAAACCGGAAATATTGTAATAAATAATCTAGAAATTATTTGGAGAGATTGGAGGAAAAATCAATAACAACCTATTCAATCGATTTTTAAAATATTTTGTAGGATTTGTTCTTCATTTGTAAAAAGATTTTGAAAAGAAATGATGCTATGATCAACTTACATCAATTGGATAAGACAAATTGCCAAATGGCTTATTATGTGAACTCTTTACTAGAATGATTTATCAGGATAAAGATTTGTTAGAGTGGTAAGAAGATAACTGCTTTAGAGATAAAAGAATGGATTTCTGGTGAATTATGTAATATTTTTA